ACTGAGCCAGTGAGGGGAAGTAATCTCTAAGGCTTTCAGAACTCAAGGGATGGCAGGGCTATCTGTCGGTCTTAGATGTGTCACCTCTCCAGTCTAGTCTTGCCCTCCAGGATTGGGGATGGGGCCAGTCAGGGGAGGAGGATGGCAGGAGCTCTGTGCATCCAGAGTTCCACCTGTCTGGCCTCAGACAGCAGAGCTTGTTGTAGGATTCCCACAGCACCTGCAAAAGGCCTAACCCAGAACCTCGGGGCGGGCAGGGTGGAGCTCTGGTCCTGGCTGACTCAGGCCTCCCCTGAGGGAGCACAGGAATGGTGGTGGGGAGCTTCCAGGGACTTAGGGCAGGTGCGGCAAGCCCCAGCGTGGGGAAAGAGGGGCCAGAGTCTCTTGAGCTGGCCACACTATGGCCATGCCCCTGATCCCTCAAGCCCACTTGAGAAACGAGGCAGCAAACCCCATGCTGGGAGCGAGAGGGAATGAATGCAGAGAAATAATTCACTGCCCCACTCTCATTGGGGTAATGGACGACAGAAACGCTGTCTTCCTGTCTTTCCAGGGGCATCTGGAGACAGAAGAGGCTGGATCACCTGGCCAGGACTGCTTCAGAAATTACATCCCCAGGAATTACATCACAGGAGCCAAAGTTCATTTAGGGCAGTTTCCCCCCTTGCTGCTGGGGTGCCCAAGGAGGAAAGCGTTCTGGGGAGACGGGGCAATGAGAGCCTGGAACTCTGGCCTAAGAAGAAAGCATGACCACGGGCAAGAGCCAGTGAGGAGCAGGGAAGCCTGGCCAGAGAGGTGCGAGGAAACCCAGAGCCTGTCCTTGGGACAGCAGGGTGGGGGCCGCCCACAGACACAGGTGCGGGGATGCAGCATGCCTGTCCACTCCTGGCCGACGCTCTTGAGCTGTCTCTTGCAGTGAGACAGGCTGCATCAAAGCATCCACACTCCTGGCTCAAGCAAGAGGTGGGCAAGGAGAATGAGTCAGCCTGTGGCTGAGGCTAGTGACCCTCCCACCATTAAAGTCAGGGGACCTCATGGTCCTCCTGGGAGGGCTCTCAGTGACTTGACCATTCCATTAGTCCCTCCTGGGTTCCTTGCCTTCCCCAGGCATCCTTGTTCCCTCGGAGATGCAGAAGGACTCCTGAGAGGTGGCAGGGCAGAGAGAGGCTCAGAGAGAGAGGGGTGTAGGCACCTCGGATTCCTCTCCACCAAGCCCATGGAGCCCTTCTGAAAAACACTGTCACCTGGGGGCCAACTCCTCTGCTTCCTTTCTCATGTTTCCTCAGAGCAGGCAAGTTGAGTTCAGGCTTCCCCTCCGTAATGAGATTCTTCTGCCTGTAAGTTAAGTGCTGAACGCCCAGACTGAGTGAGTAGGGTTTCTGGCTACCTGGTGGGGAGGCTGAGACCTAGCTGGCAAAGACTGTTAGGATCTGCTCCTGAGATTTCACTGGGAATTTCTTTTTTTTTTTTCAACGTTTTTATTTATTTTTGGGACAGAGAGAGACAGAGCATGAACGGGGGAGGGGCAGAGAGAGAGGGAGACACAGAATCGGAAACAGGCTCCAGGCTCTGAGCCATCAGCCCAGAGCCTGACGCGGGGCTCGAACTCACGGACCGCAAGATCGTGACCTGGCTGAAGTCGGACGCTTAACCGACTGCGCCACCCAGGCGCCCCTTTCACTGGGAATTTCCATCTGCAGAGAGCATGGCATTTTCTTTCTGCACCTGAAGGCTCCTGAAGCAACCTGGCCCTCCGTGAGCCTAGTGGAGGTGGCCGCCTGCAGGGCTGGGGTTTGACGGCACAGACACTTCTGGGGCACTGCTGAGGCACAGTGGAGACTCTTCCCTGGCAAAGCACCGCTAAGCTGGTGTCTCTTTCCTGCCTGTTGGGTAGAAAAGCCTGAGCTGAGCCCAGGGTGGAGCCTGAACCATGGAAATGCCTCCCATCACATCCAGGGCAGGGAGGGTGGCAGGACCTGGAGAATAGAGAACCTGCTTCGGGGCCAAAGTTCATTTTCTTAGAAATGCCAGGACCCTGCCTCCTAAAAGCAATCACCTTCCACTCCCAGAAGCTTTCTCTGGCCTGTCCTCAAAGTTCCTGTCCCCATGCACACAGACCTAGGGAGAGGCCCTGAGGCTGGCCCCCCTGGTGTTTGACGATCCTGCCCTAAGGACTGTAAGGCTGAAGCTGGCACCCACACAGCTCACCGAGGGACCCAGAGCTCTCCTGGCCCAGGCTGTGGGTGGCTGTGCTCTCAGGGGAGGGGTGCCTCTCCTCTCCTTGCACCTATCAGAGGCTGATGTCCTCAGAGAACCACCGTGGTGTGGCAAGGCCAGGATGCACTCCTTGGGAACCTGCCTTGGCAATGACTGATTGCATGGGGGTCTGGATGGGTATCAGTTCCCCTTCACATTTTTTTCTCTGGATAGTTCTCCAAGAATGCACCCACCTCCAGAGTTCATGAAGGCTGAGACAACTGATGTGTCTCCGTCACTCTCTATTATTTTTATGGCAAATCCCTTACATAAATGCCAAGTTGACTTAGACCAACAGGTAGTGGTTCCCCTGATGTTGCACCATGGTAAAGAACATCTAAAGGTCACGTGTGTGCTCGGTGAGAAAAAGTTCTGTGATTGATTAGCAATGTCTGTCACGGGTATGGGACTGGAGACTAGAGGTTTATACGTTGTTCTGCCTTCTCTGATGTTGCACTGAAGACTTTTAGGAGCACTTTCACATGTGCACCTCATTTGATTAGAAGTGACCTAGAATGATGTAGATTATTATTCACTTACAAAAGGAGACATCAGGAACATGGAAGTTAAGTGTGTCTTTTCCTAAATCACCCAAGTGAATTGGGGCCAGAGCCAGGATTAGATCCTAGATGTCCTGAGTTTGAAGCCAGCACAGGGAAGGCACTCACATCAGGGAATGCTGGTGATCAACATACCAAAGTGTTCCTTCCTGTGTCTTTGGGGAAAGAGTGCTTAATAAATCTCCAGGCTTGCAATTTGCTATTCTTCATGCATATGTGTGGGATGCTGGCAGGAACAGAGCATGTGGAAAGCAAATGGGCTGCCCACGCCAGAGCCGACTGCCCCTCTGGTTGCTTGTAACTTTCAACAGTGGGCAGGCCTGGCCCTGACTTGCTCTAATTTCATCAAATCAGCAAGGTACCCCGGGAAGAGAAAAGGGACCATTTCAGAAACATCTGCAGGGAGCCAGTCTGGACAGCTATTCAGTTACCATGGAAACCCACCCTAGGAAACTGCTTCAATTTCAGGAAAATCGCTACAAACAATAATAAGCATAAATGAAAAATGGTACACTGTTACTTCAAAATTGTACTTGTTATTGGGTTTTAGGGACTGAGCCGGCAGGCACATATCCGTGAGCGCAGTGGAAAGCAGACATCTCTGCCTGGCTGCAGGCCTGATGACAGAGCCCACATCCTCCCTCCCACCTCCCTCATCAAGTGTCTGGATGTGACCTCCGGGGAGGCATTTGTCAGAGGAACTCATGTCTGAATTGCGGGAGGAAGGAGGACGTGCCTTGCAAAAAACAAACATTTGCTGAGCAGACTGCAAGGCAACACAGAGCCATGTGGAGGGGAACATGGGCCAGGTGTGATGTCACTGCGTGGGCTTTCTTCAGCTAACACTGAACATTCACATGGGTCCAAAGTAGATATCCTTTAAGAAATCGGGCAGCAGGAGTAATAGCTGAGCTGGGAGTCTCTACTGTAATCTGTTTTCAGGGACTCTTGGGCTAGAAAGGACCTTGTAAAGATGACTTGGCCCAGCTCCTCCCCCAAGTGGTGTTTCCATTCTGTTGGCAGTGTCTTCAGCAGACGGTTCCTGAGTTTGTACTTGGACTATTCTAAGAGCTGTACGGTTTTTCCTGACACTGAGCGGAAATCGAACTCCCTGTGGCTTCTCATGAACGAATCAGACCCCTTTTGGCAATGATAACCCTCCAGCCATCTGGAGTCAGTCTGATCCCTCTGTGTTCTCCATGTGGCAGGTGTCAGTGACGCCTTCATGGTTGCTCCCCTTAAAGAACTGTCAAAGGGGGACATCTGAGGTGGAACCTGGACCCTGACAGGGGAAGACCATGTAGCTAATGGTATGCTCATGAATTATACTTCAAAAATCACTGTGCCTGTGCAGGTCTGTATACATTCAGATCATTACATTTATCCTGATACTGGCTCTCTAAAAGCAGCTAAGGAAGGAAGGGAAAAAAACAGCTATCCCTAGTCTACTATACCAACTGTCGGAGCAGGTATTCAGTAAATGTTTCCTGCACCAGAGAATCCCCACTGCACAGATAAGTAAAACCGAGGTTCAGAGAAGCCCACGATCACCCAGAAAGAGAATGGCAAGGCCAGGCCAAGAACACCAGCATCCTGCTCTCTGCCTCCAAACCTTCCCATGGAAAGTCACCGAGCCCTGGGCACCCACGTCCTGAGCGCCATGTTGCCGGACTGGGGGCCGCTGGGCCCTCTTACCACCCCAGGGGCCATTCTCCATGTGTGCTTGAGTCAGGGCTGACGTGACAGCCCATCTCAGGACATCCTCTAAATGACACCAAAGAGGCACAGAGCTCCTCCTAAATGGGAGAGGCAGCCTGGTGATCACGGAGGCACTGGGGACTCCCAGAAAGCAGAGCATTTTGTCTAGTGTGTCCAGGGCAAGGGTCTGATGAGGAATAGCGAAAGCCCTTTGGGGCTACACTGCTTTACCGAAACTTACAGCAAAAAGGAAGTCACAAGGAATATCAACCAAACCTACATTTTTTCATCAACTCAGCCAGGCTCTGATTGAAGGGGAATGGCCCTGCCTCCGTAAGACACTTGTGTCTCCCAACAGAGCAGGGAGGAAGCCACCTCCCCCCAAGCACCAGGGAACAGGGGCGGCAGGGCACCTGCAGACAGTGGAGAGGGTGAGAGGGCAGAAGGGCCCTGATGCCTTTCTCGGGGGCCGGGGGGCTGACTCACCAGGCTGTGCATGATGCGCACACCGTCGGGGTTCACCGTGAGTGCCTCCTTGTACAGCTGCTTGGCCTCCTCCAAGCTGCCCTTCATCTCGGCTAGCCGGCCCCGCATGTAGAGTACCGAGTGTGAGGTGGGAAAGAGGCCCGCTGCCTCCTGGATGCAGAAACCCGCTTCCTTGAGGTGTCGCTGCTCCATGAACAGCTCAGCTGTGAAACCAGAAGGACAGTGGGAGGTGACAGCGGTAGGAAAAGCCAGAGGCAGAGGACCCCTCCCTCCATCCAACTGGCAGCCCCCAGAGTGGAGGGTCTCAGGTGGTGGAAGCCATCCCTCGAGTCACAGCACGGGCGGGGCTGGCTCTGGGCCGTGGGGGCAATAGCAGAGAATGGTTTCCGAGCGCTCACTCGGTGTCAGGCACCGTGCTACATGTTCCACACGGACCGTCTCCACTGACGCTCATAGCAGCTTGTAGAACAAGCACTTTTATTACCCTGCTTCAGGGAGGAGGAAACTGGGGCACAGAGAGGGTAGGGAAGTGACCTTAAGACCACAGGGAGAGTCAGCTGTGGACCTAGGGTTTGCATCAGGTTGTCTTGACCTCCAAGCTTGGCAGTGGGGGCACGGGTGGCGTCTGTAAAGGTCAGGTGGCTTTCTGCAGCGTCCCTCACTTCACCTGGTGACCTTGAGTCTCGGGGTGGGGGATGGAAGCTGATCAGGAGGATGCAGGTGTGTGCTACCACAAGGCCCACACTCCTTGAGACTGTGGGCCAAGGCCTGCTTCTGCAAAGTGTCTACTCTCATCTGACCCTCCTAGGAGGTGCTCTCATGAGCCCTGTGCTAACAAACCAGGCTGAGGAAGGCAGGGCGTCACTCTAGTCCCTCAGTGGAAAGGGGTGAGGCAGAGCTGGGCTCCTAGCAGCTCCGGCCTCTCTCCAAAGCCCAGGGCTTTCTGCCACACTGAGAGAATAGGTAATGCACGTGCCTTTTACCAACAAGCAGGAAAGATCTGTCCCACAACCAGTTTGCCCTCTTCCCTGCAGATCTGTGGAAAATGGGGCCATCTCTCTGATCTCAGGCCAGCCCACATAAAGGCACATTTCAGATCCACGCTGCACAGGTACACACCCACAACAGGCACTTTTAGAAACAGGCTGGCTGGGCTTGCAGCACGGCCTCGTGGCCCACTCAGCCTTCCTCTCCGGCAGCCCTGGGCTCAGCTGCCCCTCCCGGGGCTGGTGCCTGCACACAGATGGGAGCACAGAAGGGCACGCAGAGCCTGGCTTGTGGCTCTGCCAGGAGCTGTTCCTAGCACAGGCCAAGGGCTGAGGTTACACTAATTCAGGTTACACTAATTCAGGTCTGGGGCGGGTAGATAACAGACATCCCCAAAGAAGCTCCCAGAACAAGGTGGAAAACCTGGGCCCAGGCATCATCTTCCTGTTTCAACAAGAAGCAGGAAGGAAGCCTAAGGCCTCAACTGCAGCACACAGCATTTGGGGGTACTCAGCATGAATGTTGCCTAAGGTTCATTGAGTAATCAAAGTAGCTTGCCACATCCTACAATACTACAGAGGCCTTTGTGAGCAAGGGTACTCTTTTTGTCTCTAGTGGAGATGAGAATTTGGAAGAATTAAGTAAACACAGAGGAGCCAGGCCCCCATGATAAGGCTAAAGAGAAACGCAGGCTCTTGTCCCTGTAGACAACCTGAACTGCAGAGTCCCAAGGCAGAAAGTGCAGGAAGGTGAGGCCAGGAAGGGCAGCCTTAGAGCCCAGGGCCTTGCAGGGAGGGGTTTGTCTAACTCTGCCTAAGCTCTCCTCTGCTGTGCTGTCACGTTCTCTTCTGGAGCTGCTGCCTGGGGCTCTGAGCAGGGTGCCTTCATAACTGAGGGCCCAGTGTGCAGCTACGATGTGCTGACCATGTGCCTGGCCCACCCACATGAGAAGGATAAAGAGGGGAGGTGGGAGGAGGTGGGGCAGCGGAGCGACCAAACTGCTGGAGGGAGCCAGGGCAATGGAGCGCCAAGTGCCAATTCTGAAAACTCCGGGCACTCCGAAGGGGTCAGGTCAGCTGTGCTGGTGTGGCCAGGGAAGTCTTCCTGGGGGGAAGCAACACTGGAGCGGGGACCTGAAAGTGCAGGGGTGCTTAGACAGGCAGACAGAAGGGAGGTTGTGCAGACCTGGAGGGCTGGACTCCACTGTGACCTGCCCGAACTCCCCAGGGTCACTGGAGAAGAGGGGGAGAAGCAGAAGGAAGCGTATGGTGTGAGTGCCAGAGGCGGGGAGGCCTGTCCTGCACCAGCCCCTGTAGCTGCTTCCTCTATCTACCACCAGGAGCTCAGCTCAGAGGCTAGGCTCTCCACTCCCATAGACCTTGCCCAGCAGGCCCAGCCCACCTGCCTGCCTGCCTGGTCCTGGCATGGCTCATTAAGCTGTTTACAACTTGCTGTCCTGTCTCCTGAGTCCCTGTCTCTGGAGGCTGCTCCTGGGGTCTCCCTTGGCGACTCCTCACAGTGCCTTCGTATCAACAGATTTCAATTACAGGGATCCCCACCTCCTTCTTTCCTTGTGGCCCTAGCCCTTGTCGGGCTGGCCATACAGCAGAGAACATGCCCTGAAAAATAGGTAGGGCTGCTTTGGTCCGATGGACTTCATTACCAGTTAGGCAGGAAACCAGATGACACAGAACAGAGCCAGAGAAGTAAGGTCTCCTGAGGGCTCCTGGCTGCCTTGCAGACAGTCCCTGGCATGCTCAGACTCCAGGGCGGGGCCTCTGACCTGCAGAGAGGCCCACAGGTCTGGGGGCTGCAGTGCACCCCTTCTTCCCTAGCCTCAGCGTCCCTGGGCAACTGTTTTACCAAACATGGTGCTCCCCAGACAGTCAGCCAGCCTATGCTCTGGCTATAGCTTGGCACCACACCCGCCCACTGCCCTGATTTCTTGACCTCCTGGCCTTGACTGCTAGGGCCCCAAGGTGCCCACCCATCTGGGCCTCCCCCCGCCAGGGCTGGAGGAACACTCCCTGTTACTGGACTTTCCTTGAATTCTCACGGTCCAGTTCACCACCCCAGCAAACAGACCTAGCTGTCCCCAGTGTCGAGGGCCCCTCTCCCATCCCCTCAGCTCATTTTCTCTCCCTCCCGATTTCCCTACTCCTCTCATCTCCTCTCTGCCTGCTCTTGACCTCTCCTCCTACCTCTCTGTCTCAGCTTTTCTCCCTCTTCTGTCCATCTCTCTCTACCAGCCCCCCCTCTGTGCTTCTCCCGGCAGGCTCCAAATGGAAAACATCTGTTCCCTGGAGCTTTGCAACAGTCCCTTTTATTGTTTTTTTTTTTTCTGAGGCATCCTGATCTAACCCTGCACCCTGAGCTGGTTCCAGTCTTTCGGCCAAAGCAAAGCTCCACCCCACCCCCAGGTTGGGGGATGAACTCACTTTTCACCGGCTATTTGCACACCCTCTTTGCAAGGAGGGCCTTGCCCTTGGACTAGTTCTAAGCTGAGGAGCAGGGGGAGGGAGGGCCCAGGGTCACGTCTAAGGCCTTTCAGGAGCCTCCCCATGTGAGAGTGCACTTGGCACTCAGGCTAAAGGCAGAGGCCCCTCAGGGAAAAGCTTAGGAGAGAAGTTAAGGTTAGGCCCTTAGCTAGCCTTGAACCCCAGAAGGGATCACCAAAACTATCCCCCTAAAGGAAACAGGTGTCCTCCTCATGGAGTAGACCATCAGGACATATGGACACCCAGAATAAAGGTGACAGAAGGGAGGCGGACAAGGAAGGAAAGAGAGAGACTACCATGGAACCGAAGGAATAACACTGAGAATCCGAAGGTCTGAAGGCATTTTGCAGGTTGGTCTGAGACCCTCCATCCCAGGGACCCAGAGAGAGGGCCCAATTTACCTCAGGCCACAAGGGAATCAAAGCTGCAGGGCCTGGGCTCCTAACTTCCTGTCCCTGAATGCTCTCCTCACTATCTCTGCAGCTGGGAGGAGGGGGTGCAGGCAGAGGAAAGAAGAAGAAAAAGCCAGAGCAAGAGAAGAGGGTACGTGGGAAGGAGGCACAGAAGGCAGGAGGGAGAAGGGCGGGGAGCTGGGACAGAGGGGAGCGTGAGGGAAGACAAAGAGAGGGATGAGGAGGAATGGAGGAAAAGCATGAGAGAAGGTGGGCGGGGGGCACTGGTGAGGCTGTTTCTCCCTTGACTGCAATGTTATAATAAACATGACCGTCAGACACTGCCCTGGCCACCCACCCCAGTTCTCCAGTCTGCCCAGCTGACAGCGCGGCAGCCGTTACCTGCCAGTGCCCAGGGCCTCCTGAGTACTGTCCCCATAGAAGGCTGGGTCTCCCATTCTGAGATGCCTTGGGCAAAGGGTTTCTGGGCACAGATTCAGCCTGGACCAGTGGGGTTACTGGCTCTTGCTCGACGGATCTGTTTAGCAGTTGGAGCTCTGTGCCCAGTGCCCAGACGTGGTGAATCTGCCATTTGGGAGCTGGGACTCGGGCCAACTTCCCCCCGCTGAGGGAAAGCCCATGGCCACCCATGAGTGCCCTGGACTTCCAGGTTAGGGGATCTCTTCCCTACATCTGTCTTCCTTTCTCTAGCACACTGTTAGCTCCCAGAGACATGAGCTTCAGTGAAAGAGGGAGGTGGGCCATCTTGCTCTTCTGGAAGGCACCTCTCGACACACAGGATCCTGGAGCATCTGTTAGTCCTGGTGCCTCTCCCATCATCACACAGACCCTCTGCTAAAGAGGCAACATTCCTGGAACGGATCTCTCAAGTGGAAGCCCTCCGTGATGCTTCTCACATCTGACTGGGATGGGCGGAGGCTTGAAGAGGCTTGAAGAAGGGCAGCCCTTCATTCAGTAAGTGCTCAGCAAATGCTGGCTGGTGATGCTGGTAGCTTATGGAGTGCAGACTGCTCCAGAATCCTCCCATTCTCAGAATAAAGAACCTGGCACACTTTCTTCCTTCCCTTTCTGGCTGTGGCTGCTGTCCCTCAATCTATCCCCACTTTCTCCTAACAGGGCTTATAGGCAACCAGGACGGTGACATTTCCCACAGTCCTATGCAGCTAGTTGCTGTCATGTGACTAAGTTCTGGCTGGTGGATCATGAGGGGAAGTGATTAGTGCAAATTCCAAAATATGCCCTGACTGGGAGGGAGTGTCCCCTTCTCCCACTCTTCCTGGTTATGCCTGGGAAGGTGAATGTGGTGAAGAGCCATCATAGATCATAGGGGTGAGAGTGACTCCCCAGGTAGAGCAGAGCCAATGAAATGGAAGGAACCTGGGTCCCTGGACCAGGAGAGCACAGCTGTCATCCCAGTCAAGGCCTCCATCTCTGAGTTGTTACAATGGCTTCTGAGTTGTTACAGTGGCTTCTGCAAAGTAGACGCTTGCTTTGTTTTTCTTACAAAGCGTCTACTTTGCAGAAGCCACTGCCATTTTGGATCGGACACACACACCCAAACTTGTCTCCTAATGCCACTCTGCCCAACCCTTACTTGGCACCACATTCGTGGCATTCAGATTTTGTTCTTGAGAGTTCTCTGTAGGCTGAGTATCTAGGATAACATCCAGAGAAGAAAGGCTAATGTGCAAGTTATCGAAAGGCATGTTTACACCGATAATTCCCAAGCCTAATTACAGGCTTACTCCTTCCCTGGAGTTACCAGGATGCACTAGCATCCGGAGCATAAAGCAGCATACTTGAGAAACGCAAGCAGGTTTGTGAAATGCAAAAATGTGTTCATTTGCTGATGGTAGTAAACAACATGCGTCATTAAACCAAAGGCCTTGGGAACTCTAGAGTAGGCAATGCACAACTCCAGATCTGATCGCCGGGTTGCTGATGTGCCCCTTGAAGTTGGTGAAGGCCCAGTGTGGGCAGCTTCCTACCCCAAGCACATGTAGGGGCCGGGGCTCCGGTGTGCCTCTTGGGAGCCGTTACGGCTTCATGTCTTAGCAGATGACAGGGGGCTCTCTGCCTAAGGGGAGGCCTTTTTTAATATCCCTCTGGAGTTTTCAACATTCCTTTTCCTACTCAGGATGCAACAAGCCGGCTGTGGAACACAGCTCCCACACATCCCTAGCATCCTAAGGGACCCTCCTATGCTAGCTGTGGCAATGTTTGCGTTATTAAAATGCTTCCCTGTTTAGCCTGTAAATCCTGGCCCAACTGTCCCCCTCCGCCACATTCAGAACCTATGGTGGGGGAGTAGGGGGAGTACTGCATGCTAATAGGACCATATGTGAAATCCAGGCAGCGGGAAACCTCAGATTCCCAGGTAAACACATTCTGCCTCTGACTTGCAATGTCTGCCAGTCTCCAGAACCATCTACTTGCAGTGTCTTCTGCATCTCCCCTGGATGTCTGTAGGCGCCACCCCCTGGGTAGAGAAAACAGGGTAACCAGAAAACAGGCGAGGAGCTTCACTCGGGCAGTTCTCGATCAGAAGGCCATGTTGGCCTGGTGCGTTTCTAGGATTCCACTTTTTTTTTTTTAATTTTTTATTTTTGAGAGGGGGGTAAGGGGCAGAAAGAGAGAGAGAGGAAGACAGAGGATCCGAAGCAGACTTCTGCTGAGGGCAGAGAGCCCGATATGGGGCTCGAACTCACAAACCATGAGATCATGGCTTGAGCCGAAGTCAGACGCTTAACCGACTGAGCCACCCAGGAGCCTCTAAGGATTGCACTTATTCTGCTACCTTCCTTTTTCTTCTTCTGCTGCTGCTATTCTGTGTCATTCAGGTACATTGATGGCCTTGATTCTTTCCCCTTTCACTTGAACCCACCTCTCACCCCGGCTTAGATGAAATTCTCAAACCCAGCAAGTGCCTCCCTGGAATCCTTAGTGGAGGCTCAAGGACGGTCACCACTGGGGGCCATCCTGCTTCTGTCTCCAGCACGACTATAGTGGATGGGACAGAGACCAAGCACCATTTGCTGGTGTCCCACGCTGCACTAACTGCTTTACACATGTCAGCTCATAGCTCATGATCAGGACAGGCAGAAAGGGGCTGGCATTAGAATCCAAGCTCTGTGGGGCACCTGGGCAGTTCAGTTGGTTGAGTGTCCAACTCTTGATTTCAGCTCAGGTCATGATCCCAGGGTTGTGAAATCAAGCCCTGAATCGAGTTCCACACTCTGGAGGCTGCCTGAGCTTCTCTCTGTCTCTCTCTCCTTCTGCCCCTCTGGCTCTTGTCTAAAATAATAATAAAAAAAGAACCCAGCTGTGTGTGACCCTGAAGCTGCCTGCCTCCCCAACACTAACTGTCCCTCAAATTCCCCGGTGGCAGTGGTGCCAGTTACCTATCAAGAGGCCACCTGAGGGTCAGTTGGTTAGGCATCTGACTTCTGCTCAGGTCATGATCTCACGGTTTGGGGGTTCAAGCTCCACATTGGCCTCTATGCTGACCGCTCAGAGCCTGGAGCCTGCTTTGGATTCTGTCTCCCTCTCTCTCTGCCCCTTCCCTGCTCATGCTTGGTCTCGATCTCTCTCTCTCTCAAAGATAAGTAAACATTAAAAAAAATTAAAAAAAAATAAAGAGGGAATGGCCATCCCAGTGTTATCAGCCTTCTGCTTTCAATGAACTACACTGCCAGCCCTCACCTCTTCTCTGTGAGCCTCTAGGGTTTGAGTACTAACTGGTTTTACTCAGGGGAAGATGGGCAAGAAGGAGGGATGGGCCTGTTTTTGAGACTAAGAAGACTATCCATCTATGTGGTCTTTCTTCAAATCTTCTTACACTTGTATTTGCTGACAGACAGCCTCTCCCAGGTAGGCAGGCAGGTCCTGTCCCCATTTGGTGCAGAAGGAAGCCCACAGCCAGACAGATTAAGTGACTTTTCTTGGGCCAAGCAAAGAAGAGCTGGAACCAGGGCTCCAGGTTTCTGATCCCCAGGCCTTTCCATGAGTACTACAGTCTACCCAGGCCTTGGCAGGGGCCCTCATAGCCCCACACTCCTTCCTCCAGGGCAGCGCACAGCTGAGAGGCCTGCAGGCGGGCAGGTGGGTGTCACTGGGGCCGGAGACACTCACCAGCCTGGAGCCAGATCTGTTCCAGCGTGGTCCACAGCTGCATGGGGCCCTGCTTCAGGACTGAGCTCGGCATAGTCAGCTCTGACATGGCCTCCTCCAGCCGGGAGGCTGCGATGGATGATGCGCGCCGAGACCCTGCAGAGCAAGAGGGGAGAGGGCTGAGCAGCACAGTCAGAGCAGTGACTGGAGCAGCCCCACGGCCGGGCAGCTGCAAAACAGCTCACAGAGCACTGGGAAGGGCTCTCCTTGTACCCTCACCCATGGCTGGGATTGAGGAGTGTCAGGCAGCAAGCCTGCTTCCAAGAGTCTGTCACTAGAGAAGATAGTCATAAATGCTGGCAAAGGTGCCTGCACTACTGAAAACAGAAATGATCTGAATGTCTAACGATAGGGAGTGATTCAAAATAAGTGAGGGTACATTCGTACAAGACCCTGCAGTCATTAAAATAATGACACATATATCTGGAAACCGACGTAGAAGGATGTTCACATTATATAGTTAGGTGAAAAACAGCATGTTAGAAAAGTGTATGATTATTTATTTATGTTTATTTATTACTTTTGAGAGAGAGAAAGAGCATGAGCAGGCAAAAGGCAGAGAGAGAGAGAGAGAGAGAGAGAATCCCAAGCAGGCTCTGTGCTGGCAGCACAGAGCCCGATGCAAGGCTTGAACCCATGAACCGTGAGATCATGGCCTGAGCTGAAACCAAGAGTTGGACGCTTAACCAACAGAGCCACCCAGGTGCCCCTGGTCACATTTGTATAAGAAAGTGGGGCGCCTGGGTGGCGCAGTCGGTTAAGCGTCCGACTTCAGCCAGGTCACGATCTCGCGGTCCGTGAGTTCGAGCCCCGCGTCGGGCTCTGGGCTGATGGCTCAGAGCCTGGAGCCTGTTTCCGATTCTGTATCTCCCTCTCTCTCTGCCCCTCCCCCGTTCATGCTCTGTCTCTCTCTGTCCCAAAAATAAATAAACATTGGAAAAAAAAAAAAATTAAAAAAAAAAAAAAAAAGAAAGAAATAGGGACCTAGAGAAAAGGTCTGAAAGGCCATTATTAAGGTCTGGATTTTGAAACGGTGGATGATTTTTCTTTTCTTCCTTTTGCTCTTTGCTTTCGGTTTTCACCAGTGCATGTTATCGTATCTGATATAGAAGGGTCCCACTTGAGGTTGTGCTGTGAAGGATCCTTGGGTAGCAACTCAGGTCAGACCCTGTGCCCTCCGGAGAACCTCCCCGGTGGCAGTTCTGGGTGACACGGGTCCCTGTTGAGGATATATAAGCCATTGACATTTACAATTCACATGCAGGTGAAATGTGAGCACTTCTCTCTCTCTCTCTCTCTCTCTTTCTCTCTCTCTCTGTCTCAGAGGCAATAAAGGCTCCAATAAACTCAGGAGACCTGGGGCAAACCACAGATGGTTTCAGTTTATAAGACAAGTGCACGTGGAGTCCTAATAATTGGCTCATGGTTCTTCCCTCCCTAACTGCAAGGGCACTATGCCCTCCTTCACCGTTCTCTCCTTGGAGCCAGCAGCTCCACATTCAGCCCAGCGCCCCCTCAGATGTGCCTCCAAGTCAAGTCAGGTGCAGGGCTTGGCATCAGAAATCAGCTCCATCAGTGACAACAAAGGTGCATCTCGGTTCATGTCCGCAAAGGTGGAAAAAATGAGCAATGCCACTAAACGCAACTGCCTCACACTCCATTCTGGTGACTAATTCTTCTTGTGCCTTTGCTTTTCTGCTTTAATCAGGGCCTCCTTTTTAACAGTTCTCTATGGGCTTAGAGTTATAAATTTGAGCTCAGCTCATTCCTTTCTACTTGACTCCACTCGATCTACTAAGGACATTTTAATGGCAGACATTGGCCTTGAGTTTAGCCTAAGGGGAGATGGTTTGTGCTCCACAGTCAACTCTCCACCCTGGCTCTCCTCTCTGCACCCCTGCCCAGGAGGCTGGGTCCATCCCTTGCCTGCTCCAGCAGTCCACTTTCCGCCCCAGAGCCAGGATGGGCTCAGAAAGATGCCCGAGGGCAGCTCCTTAGTTTCTTAGCACCAGGCTCTGGTGCCACGGCTGGCCAAGAGGAGGGTGGGTTTGGCCAGACTGGGAAGATGCCACTTTCCCCAGTTTGTGCTCAGGCTGGGAGAGGGAGCGGTGGGCCCACATGGGCAGCTGCCCATGGGCACGTTCTTACCGGAGTCTGCATCATGGGCATCGGGCAGAGTCAGATGCATGCCACTCTGCTTCTTCAGTGTGACACCCTCGCCGAGGCTCCCATCCTTTTCCAGGCCTCTGAAAGGCAAGGGAAAGCCAGGCCCCAGTGAGGCAGAGGGCTTGCAGGGAGAACAAGGGAGCCTTACACCAGGCAGGGTCTGAGGCTGAGAGTTTAGGCCTGGGAATGGAGCCAAAGCTAGGACCACTAGGAAGGGTGGAGACCACCAGAGATGGCAAGACAGATCGGGCCTCAGGCTTACCCTAGAATCTGGCTAACCCCAGAAGCTACACTGACATGCTGTTACTCCCCAGCATGTGTACACACCCACACACCCACACACACCCACCCACACACACACACACACACACCACCACCACTATGTGCCCTTGGGGCCATCAGTCTCCCCGCTAGTCCTTAATACTACCACATTTCATCCCTGCAGCTAACATTTGCTCATGCAAACCAAGAATGTTCTTGCTGTTTGTTCTTCTGGTCCACACAACCCCCCACCCCCGTCCTTTAGAACCCAGCCCAGAGACCCTCATACAGCCAGAAAGCCTCCTGTGCCCCTCACAGCTGCCTTCTCCCCTGCCCTCCGTCAGCATGAATCCAGCAGCACATGGGTTAGAAACTCTCCCTCCTCTGAAGTCAGTGATGGTAGAAGCTCCCCCAGGACAAAAGGAGGTCTTTGCTACCTTTTGCCACCCTCACAATGTCCAGCAGAGTGCCAGGCACAGAGCAGGCACCAAGATCCAGCTTCCAAGGAAAACTTGGTCTTCACGGGCTACCAGAAATACCCCCAGCCCAAGCCCCAGGGAAGGAAGGCCCAGCCACCATTCTGCATCAGGCACTCTACCTCGGGCTACCAGGGTAGCCCCAGAAGAACCAGAGGGAGGGCCCTGTGGGGGCAGATAAACAAGCATGGTACTCTCCCCTGCCCCCAATTCCCCAGGTCCTTGTGGTTCCCACACTGCTAGGGAGGTTCCTCTTTTCTCAGAGTGGGGAAGCGGGGTGGGGGGTGGGGGGAGCCACAGCTCAGAAAGGCAGCACAGCCTGTTGTGCCCATCCTGGGGCACACATACCCCCAGCCACCCCGCCTACTTCTGGGGTTGCCCTTGAACCTACTGACCAGGGAAGCCTGGAGGAGGGCCAAGGTAAACAGGGTAGGATAGATGGCAAGCCCAGCCTGGGGCCAGAGGCTTCTGACCTTCAGGGGGTGTTAAGATGATGGTCGCAATCAAGAATGCCAGGGCCCAGGGTGTCCTTGTCATTTTAACTCATGCTCACACTGGCCTGAACTTGGGCCTGTGGGTGCACGGCCATGGTGCAGACATTAGAGGAAACCATCCACAAAACACAGTAGGTCCAGGTTGATGCCTTTCCTCCCCACCCTTTTCTGCTCCCAGAGGCACCAGAGTGCGGTGCCAAAGAGCCAGAGACAATGGCCACCCTTCCTTAGCTGTGGGACCCTCAGCAAAGCATTCTAAGTTTTACTTTTGTCATCTCATTGTGTGCAGTAACAAGCAGAAGATGCCTATCTCATGAGTTTACCATGAGGAGTACAGGAGACAACATGGGCAGGTGCCCAGCACAGGCAGCTTCTTGTCTCACCATCCCTCCCAGCCCAAGAATGACTCCAGAAACAGCCCATCTCAGGGGACTTTTGTCACTTGGTTCTAGGCCAACATACAGCATTGCTCCTATCCTGAAGAACCTGGCAGCCACCAGGGGAGGAGAGGTGGGGAGGAGAGTCCATGATGAGCACTTCAAAACACCTAGATCATGAAGGTTGAACTGAAGCGTCCAAGGCTGGGTGACTGCAGGCTCCATGAAGGAAAGCATCTGAGCAGGGCCTGGGGACAGCATGGGCTGGCCCAGGTGGAGCTGAGAAAGGAGGGTGTATGGGTGGGGTGGGTAGGCCAGACCTTCAGGCTGTGGATTCTGGCCTGTCCTCAGCTGCTCCAAAGCAGATTTCACAAGTCCTAGTTTCTGCTCTGTGGCTCCAGGTTCAGAAAGAATGCTTCCTATTTGACTCCAGGCAGCTGGCCTGGCTGAGCCCTGCCCCGCCCTGAGTGGGGAGCTATGGGAGGCTTCCCAAAAGAGGTGCCTGGGGAACCTAGGAGGAGCTCCACCAGGCCCTCCTATCACAGATGAGTGTGTGAGTGGTGACTTAAACAACCCTAGCAAGAACCCACAGCCCCAGCCCTGGAGAGAACACGGGGCAGCCCCACAGTTCTGCTTCCTGGAGGGGAGGCCCAGGATGGGCCCAAATGCCAAGACACGGGGCTGCAGCTCAGAGAGGCCCCACAGAGACCGCCTGGAGGAGCAGGCAACCAGTCATACAGCCAAAAGGAGGTTCCTGCCACCTCCAATGACAGCTCCTTTCTGTAAGGGGAGCCAGACTATACACCTGCAGGCTCCATGAAGGAGTGACTGTAGCCAGTGAGTGGCTGAGCAAGGGGTATCTCAGTGCAGGCCCTGCTCATACCAGAGTCTGGTCCTCACCCCCGTATCACCCAGCTGTCAGACAGCTCCCCATTCCCTTTCTGAAAAGTCCCTCACCCCAGAGCCTCCTTCTGGCAGCTTCCATTCACTGGGTCCTGCTCTGCCCTGGAATCTCTCAGGCCTTTCAAAGGCCTTCAGAGCGAGGCAGACCCTATTTGCCCAAGGGTTTTAACCTCATTGGATTACCCTGGAGCCTCCTCTGTAAATTTCACCACCAGAGAGACATGCCTCTGGGGATTGTGAAACCCTTTAGGGTTCCAAGAGTCCCTGTGAAAATGCAATCACATCTACCGGAGTGGGGTCCCCTAAGGCCTCCGGGAGGTGATACAGCCAACAATTTCAGGGAAGGGAAGGGAGGGAGGACCAGAGGACCAGGAAGTCATGGTGCACCTGCCTGGCACAAGGCCCTTTTCTGCTTTGGGCTGCATGGTGTCCCAGGAGATTTGAGCAAAAACTTTCAGCAGATTCAATCTGCACAAGAGTTCCTATCTGGCCCAGGAGAAACCCAGAGCCCAGGCTGGAGGCTGTGGCAGGAGACAGGATAAGTAGAGATGGTGGGTGAGTGGGGAAGAGGGGCGGGCCTTTCAGGAACTCTGCTTCTTCCTCTTCCCTCTAGCTTCCAAATGGAGCCAGGAAGAAGCAACCGGCTCAGGGCTGCGATTCAGGAGACCCAGGTTCAAGCCCCAGCACTACCATTTACCAGGTGAGTGACTGGCAAATTCTCTAAGGTTCCTGAGTCTAAGTTTCCCTCCTGGGGTGAGAATAAAATCTGACAGTGTGTAATATGTAAGTAGCAATCCCAGAACCTGGCCCAGATTCTGGGATTGCTACTTACATATTAACTTCATTCTTACCCCTCGGAACTTCAGTTTCCTAAACAGGTTCTTTGTGTCCTCACAGAGGATTGTCAAAAGGTTAAAATTAGCCTACGGATGTAAAAGGCCCCAGGAGCAGTAAGTAGCACACTCTGATTCAAATATCGTCACCACCCCCAGGCATCATGACCACTCAGCTGTGGGCTGTTGCTCTGGCAACCACCCCCTGTCAGTGCTGCCCTCCACCCCCTGGGCGACCCCAAGGATGAAGATGGCCACTCACCCCAGCTGGGAGAAGCTGTACAGGGTCTGCCACAGCCGCAGCATTTGTCTGCAGGTCACAAGGGCTTCCTCCGGGCCTTTCAGGACCTGCTCCAGCTTCACCTTGGTGAACATCAGGCTGCAGGGAAGGACAGGAACAGTTAGCACGTCCCTGAGAGGGCCCCCTTTCCCTTGGTCTTCCTCCCAGCCTGGGAACCCAAGGGATTCTGCCCCACCGTGCTGCCCGCTCCTCTCATCCACTTGGCCCCTGATCAGATACTCTCCTGCCCCACTCTCTGAAGCACTGTTAGGTGTGTCTGCTAGTCTTGCTTTGTTTGTTCCTCTTACCCACATCCATGGTATGCACCATCCTCAGTGACCATGTGGCCATTTTTATATTCACACACCCCACAGGCCCCCAGTGAACCTTGTATATGAGAGACCCAGAAAGCAATTGCTCATCCAGGAATGGAGCTAAGCAAGGAACTGAAAAAGAAAGGTTACCTAAAGGGCAGAGTTGTGCTTTAGACCTTGCCAGCGCACAATAAATGCTCAATTAACATCTCCTAAACTGAACTGCAAACTGTTTCCTGACCCTGGATACATGAGGAGTGTCATCAGTCATGTGTTACTTTACCAAAGAATTCTTCACTGGATTTCCTAAAACAGCCAGCTCCCTTTATATGTGCAATAAGATTCAAGTGACACCAAGTCCTATTCAGTCGCCATTTAGGAACACAGTTGCTCTGCAAAGGGAGGCAGCAACTTCAGAATCTCTTTCAACCTGAAAACTGGGCGTCCTCTGAGGTCAGGATGCTGCTGGATGTGGGGATGTGGCCCTGAAGGGGGCTGGGAGGAGAGGGGAAGGGCTGCTCCCACCAGAAGGTGGGACCACAGGAGGGGCCGACAGCTCCCTTCCTCTGTCCTGGACATAGCAGAGACCGTTAGAACACTGCTCACCATAACTGGGGCGGGGGTGGGGGGCTGGGAGACCTGCTGTGCCAGGTGTTGACCTTTCAGTTGTCAGGGAGTATTGGGGTCCCAGGGGAGGGTCAAGGCAGCCAGGGACACTAAGGACATTCAAGGCAGTGGCGATTCACTAATGGCTGTGGAAGTACTGCGTTCTTTATACTGTGGGTACTGCCAGCCACACTGATGCACACCAGCTGCCTGGGCAGCATGTGAACTTGGCTGAGCCACTGAGACCCAAACAAGGCTGTGGCTCTGGTTCTCACTGGGCGGTGAGCGTGAGGCCCTGTTAATCCTGGCATCGCTGTTGGGACAAACCCACATGACTGTCAGGCCCTGTACTTGATCGCTGCCCGGTTAGTTCTGCTGGACCATCTGAGGTTGGCACACGGGCCCTCATAGAAGTGGAGTCCTGCATCTAGACAGGGTGCATCCTGTGATCTGAGGCTGGAGGCACCGTACAGGGAGGCCAGCCTCCACCTGGGAGCTTTCCCCTCTGACCTTTTCGCGCACTTGGAGCCCTGGCCTGAGACCTTGTGCTGAGACCTGGGCCTCCAGCCTGATGAAGGACGTTGATGGCCTCACTCTGCTCCTTGCTTCTCACACCTTGTTTTTCTTAGATTGTGACTTGCTGCTACAGAATGAAGATCAGAGTGGAATTTGCCCCAGTTCTCTTTTCAGAGGAAGAGGTTTGAATTCTGGCCAATTATTACTTTTCCTCCTCACCTTTCCTCAAAAATGCATGTGCATTTTCTGCCTCTGCTTACAGGACCCTGGCACCCCCACCCTCCCCTGGCCTCGTCTCTCCATGTTCATCCCCTTTCAAGCTTGACCTTATATCCCACCTTCTCCAGGGAGACTTCTCAGACCCTTAGGATGCCTTGTGCCCTTAGAACATCTACTAGTGAATTGCCTGGCTGGCTTACAGGGAGGCCTAGGGAGGCCAGAAACTGGGGTCCCCAGTTTAGACTGCACAGGCCTGGGCAGGAGCATGGTCTCTGCATCTTGGTGGGCAGCTGCTGGGGAAAACTGGATCTGCCATCCCTACTCTTCCTTCCTGGATTCCCGAAGGGTCCAACACTCCACAAGTATTAGGAACCTCTGCTTCAGGAATATGGAGTAGAAAACATGATTTCTGCCTTCAAGATAACAATTAGTGCTAAAAATGACAAATTGCCCAGCTAATCAGGTGCTGATTATCAAGTGATAATCAACTGGATCAGACTCAGTGCAATGAAGGAAGAGATAAGGGATCTTGCTGGGGCTGGTGTTTGATGAAAAGGAGGGTGGCTCAGTCAGTTTCAGCTCAGGTCATGATCTCACGGTTTGTGGGATTGAGACCCAAGGGCTCTATGCTGTCGGGCACTGTGCTGACAGCGTGGATCTTGCTTGGGATTCTCTCTGCCCCTCCCCCGTTTGTGCACACATGCTCTCTCACTCTCAGAAATAAATAAAACCTAAAAGGATTAAAAAAAAAAAAAAAAAAAAAAAAAAAGGATGGTGGGAAGGCACATGGTTGGGAGTTGGGGGAGAGGTAAAGCACTGGGAAGGGGGGAACCAGTGGCTGGAGAAGGTGTTGATGAGGCGTGAAGACCCCTTCCTGCCGGTGTGGGGAACATCCAGGCTCAAGTCCATTCTAAGGCTGCCCTCCCCGCCCCCCTTCAGACAACCAGAGCAGCAGAGTCCCCTGGGCAAGGCCACTTAGGGTGGGGCTAGGCTGGTTCCTGAGACAGCTCCCTGGGCGGACCAGCTCCGAAGCATTGCCCTGGTACCCCATCTCCCCAGACATGCCTCCTCTTCAGCTCCTCTCTGCCAGGCCCAGACCCCGTCCTGTTCCCTGCATCCCTGAGAGCCAGGATGAGTGGCAGACCTGACCACACCATGTGCCTAGAACAGAAGTGGCTAAAAGCTGAGCTGGCATAGTGTCTTCTACCAACACAGGCTGTTATCCTCACGGCTGCTGACATTCCATTAGTGTGAGTGACCCAGAACGGAATTTCTCAACCAAACCACATCCTTTCTGGGCTGGGGCAAGCGCTCCAATAGTCACCCTCTGGTCAGATCCTTCACTCCCGGATCCTGGGAGGCTCCAGATTAGCTCCTGAGATCTCCTTAGTATCACAGTTCAGCAGTGCCAAGAGGGAATTTCCTCAACAAAGAACCCTGCCCTGACTGTCCATGACATCAATTCAACTGCCTTTGTGCAGTCACCTTCCATTCCCGCCTCTCCTCCCATGCCCTTGGGCACCCGCGTGCTGCTCATATGGGTATTAGCAACCTGAACTGGAGGACAGGCTCCTGGACTCATCTGTGTCCTGCTTCATGTCATCGCTCTTGCTAGGACTTCCCCTTTCCCTCCAACATCCGGCCAACTGCCAACCAGATGTCACCCTCTGACCTTCTGTGTGTCCCTGTGGGGGTTGTACACATACCCCTTCTGGAGAGCCTTCACTATGTTGGACTTGGTTATCTGCACACCTGCTGGCATGCCTCCAATTCACTGCTGAACTCTCTCCCCTGCCCTCCCCCACTCCCTGTCACAGCACAGGGCTCCTCTCCGTCCCCTTGGCCAGGATGGGTGGCCCAGTTCTTTGCACAACAGGACAAGAAGGCTGGCAGAGCACTGGTGTGCCACTGTGGCTGGTGGGCAACACTTTCCAGCCCACACAAGAGGCCAGAGCCTCATCAGAACCTGGTGCTTCCTGGGCACCCCACCCCTTCAGCCCAGCCCCTGGCATGCCTGCTTTATACACCAAAATGAATCTAAAACGTCATTTGAAGAAAGGATTCTGAGACTTGAAAAAAGCCCACTATTTTAATTCGGTGGTTCTAGTCCTCCTCCAGCGTGACCACCCTTGCTCTTCTCTGAATATTCAGTAGTTTTTACTTAGCACTTACACAGTATAGACTTATATCTCTAGATATTATCTATCTATATATGTGTTTTTATATATTTATCTTTTTGCCACATAGGCTTATGAGTTTAATAACACAGATAAATTTATATCAAGCATTTTTAAATTCAAATAATCTGGACACAGTGTGTGTCTGGTCCCGCCTACAGATGGTAAAACTACTATTTATGTTGTTCTGTGTCCCGCCACGTGTCTCCACCTGGATGGCAGGTACTTGCAGGCCAAGGCCCTGCTTCCCACATCAGGGTCCTCCTCGCCTCTCCAGTGCCCGGCACAGAGCCGAGCGCATGGTGTCTGCTTAGTTTGTGAAAATGTGTGTTGTTACAACCATCTGGCCACACTCAGGGGTCTCACAGTCCATGTTAAATCAGAGCTGATTTCTACCACCCCCACTTCCCACTGCTGGGTCTTGGTTAGGAGGTAGGAGAGGAAATCTGTTCACTTGGTGCCTCATAACCGCAGAGTGGGCTGGACTCATGTAGCCAACGAGCAACGTGCCGGCCGAGTCTGTTTTAAGCTGTCTGGAAGCAAAGTTTTACAGAGCCTGGGAAGCAGCAGGGGTTTCTGGGTAGGACATGAAGATGTCTGACTCCTTGTGATTCAGGGTCTTCATCCTGGAAGACAGTCACCCAGGCAGAGCCAGAAGTACAACCAAGGGATGTCTCTGAGACAGGAAGGCCCAGAACATGGGCACCTAGCAGCCCTCTCACACCCTGACGGAAGCCACTGTGGGAGAGGAATGGCCACGCTGCTGTTCTCAGACCCTGCACTGTGATGTCGCTCAGAGTGGACAGACACTGGCCTAGGAGTGAGAAACCTGAGCCAAAGCCCCAGCTCTGTGGTCACCCAGCAGGGCATGTCACAGGTTCCAGTAAAACAGGAGTGAGGTCTCCCACTAGATGAACTGCAATGACCTATAAGCAGCAGCTGAGAAACTGCAGCTGCATTCAGTCCTCAAGCATGGGCCTGCTGAGGCTGTGGGAAGGGACTCTTGCTTTCACACTGCTGGTGTAGACGACCCGGAAAAGCAGCTTCTAGGCCTCATGCCTCTGAAGGCTCCCAGAAAACCCCTGAACCTCATGGCCTGTTTGGCAAGGCAGGGGGCCCTCCTCGTGGCTCCCGGGACTTAAGAAGGGTGTGAGAAAGGAAGAGGACAGGAGGGGATGGACGGAGCCCCAGCCGACTAGGTTGAAGCACCCCCTCTTGCCAGCACTTTCCTGTGTGTCAAGCTGTGGAAGCCCATACCGAATAAACA